AGACTTTCTTTTGCACAAAACCCTTATTTTGTTAAATGTTGCTTTCAGACAGTAATGATAAACATGGTTTGTATTCAAAGCCCACAATTGCATGCTTAAGCCATCATTTTGATTAGATGACATCGTGTTCTGCTGACACATTTATTTTGTTGAATGTTCCTTTAACACAAGAATCACACACATTCAATATTTAAATCCAGTAAAAAGGCCGTGTTTCAAAATTCAGTTTATTTATTTTTTTAAATACAAAAAGAACAAATATAACAGTAAAAACAAATAAAAAGATGTGCAAACAAAGGATACAAATGCAACAGAGTATTGTTAGAAAACCATCACCTGAATTACAGATATTTCAAAATCTAAACTACTGTAAACATGAATCAGGACTCAGGACTTTCCAGCAGTTTTCGTTTTGGGACTTCAGCCTTGTAGGTTAATCTTTGGTACCGAAATAAAGTTGTATTCCTGGCGCAGACCGTTCTGGTTGGTCGCTTTTTTATTATTTCCAGTAGAACGTTGCCGTAGTTCTTTCTTTTTCTTCATTAAAGGTGTTCTGGGCTCTTCAGATAAAAACAGTTAGTCAGAAATCATTCAGAACAGTGATGTGGATAAACATCAGTCTGATTAGCAAGTTAGCACGTTGTTAGAAAAGTAAAGCCCCAAATTAGACAAAGTGGACTGAATTGTTTTTACAAAAGAGAAAATTAAATATGTATGAGTGAAAAATGAATGAATTGACTCACTCGTGAGAGTCTTTCTTGTTCTCCTTGTCACTTTGTGACACACTGACGGATTTAAGAAAAGCCGGTGTTGAACAAGTATTCATTTGTGGATTTTGTCTGAAAAGATTTGGATGAGTCATGACCATATGAACTGTGAGACACTGGTATTATACAAGAAAGGTGATGAGCTAAAAGTTAAAAGTTACCTGTTCTGGTGTTTCTGTTTATAAAGGGTGATGGCAGCAGCAGCAGCACAAACACAGAGCCCTCCGAAGACCAACCCAATGATCAAACATATATCTGTGAGAAAAGAGGGAAATTAAAAAGACTCAACATTCATAACGCAACTACAGATCAAATGTTGATACGGACGTGAGACCACATAAAGGTTAACTTACTGAAATCATTATCAGATCCAGATCCCACATCAAAACCTGGGAAACAAAAACGAAAGACATGAGCTCAGAAAGTATTCATCAAACTATGAATCAGTGTCTTTACAAGTGTTTCTCACCATCAGCAGACGACTGTTTGACCTCAGGAATCAGCGCATACACCTCTATCTGAGGACCGGAGAGCACTCGCACTGCACATCCAACCCGCGAGCTGTTGT